TACCACAACATAAGTCATAGTAAAAAAGTGTAGATAACTGCTGTGGTTGGCTGCAGTGGGGTGACTTGTGTGCAGCTGTGGTCAGCCAATGGGCTAGAATTGCAGTTAGCAAGTAAGCTAACCTGCCTACCACAAACACTAACATCACAAAAAAATCACTAAACAGTAAAGATAATAATACAGTCTCCCAACTGACTGTGTATCATATAGTATCTCTTTAATGTGTTTTTTGTAGGCAGTGGTGAAAAAATGTTAAAGGATTTGTGTTCAAAAACGGATTAAATTGGTCTTTCCTCTGTTTTGGATGTTCTGTGTTGCTTTATGAAGCCCCACCCCTTCAGAGGCCAACAAAGCCAAACAGTAGTGCTACTGGTCAAAGACATGAAAGTTTACCAAAGTTCACAAAGTTTTGCACATAAAATGTATCGCCCTGGAAGTGAGCATCGGGACACTGGGATTAATGTTATATAGCTTGCAGGCGCTTGTGTGACTGGGCCTTTACACTTTGCCTAACCTTTAAAGGTCAGATTTCATGAAAGTTTCTTGCATCACGTCATACATCTTTACATGTTAATGTCACACGCACAGCCTCAAAAAGAAGTTCCAGCTCCGTGTTTAGATCTCAAATGCAAAATCTACATTATACTGATGAAGATGTGATGACTGATGTGATAGAAGATAATTCATTCACATCCTCAGAAGACACATTCTTCACCAAGTTTTGACAGAGTTCTCTTTGAATTCTCTTTCAATCATTAGATTCATCCTTTCGGGAAAGGACGCCGAAGCACAATCCATGCTACAAACTGTTCTTCCACGTATTATGTGCAGTTACACATTTCCACCAGAGAGGTCTCCAAATCCTCAAAACTTACACAACAAGTATGGTGCAGCTTTAAACAAGCAAAAAAATAGTGCCTGTTCACAACTGTGCCAGAGACGTTATTAGTTATTAGTATTGACAGGTGACAGTTGACAGGTCCTTCATCACACAGGGTTTAATCTCCTTCGTTGTTATTATTAGGCCTATCATTCGTCTGCCTCTCATTTTGTCTATTTCCTTCATCCTCCCTCTCCCATTTTTCACTTTTTTTCACATTTTCTTATCCACTGAACTCTCTCTTGCCTCCTCATTTTATTGGTCACTTTCCTTTTTGTCACTGGAGTTTGTAGCTAAAGTTATTGGTTGACTCAAAGGAAAATAAGTGATTGAAACCAGATCTGAATTAAAGTGAGCTCTTATTGTTTCTGCTCTTCAGCAGTCTTGATTTGTATTTAATCATTTATTGCCAGGTCACATAAATGTTATGGCATGACTGCCTGATTTCCTTTTAGTGGCATGTCTGTGGGACCCCCGCTGGCTCTGCCTCTGGGTAGAAGCTTCCATTACTTGTTAACAACATTAGCTTTACATTGGAACTTACGAGGCTAAAGAAGTAAACTTCAGACACCATGTCTTGGCAAATCTGCTGCATTTGAGGTAAGAGGTGGGAAACTGGAGGAATTCGATTTTTCGCCACACTTTTACTTTAATTATTGAAATGAGCTGTTCTCTGGACAAAGCCCAAAGAGCTCTTAGTGAAAGAGTGGCCCAGCTTTCCCTGGTAGCTGCTTCAGGATTGACTCGTTGATTAATGTTATGGCCTCATGCTGTCTCTGATAGAGGTGAAGCACACCCACCTCCAAAATTGCCTTCCAGTGCCTAGAGCTGTGCGAGAACTTTTGCTTTTTCCTGTCCTTGCACAATAAGCAGCACCAGACGTTTCCCACCGGGTTCCCACTTTGTCTGAGTTTTTGAACTAAACTGAATTAACTGTTTAAGTGTTGGCCAAAATCAATTGGAAACGGATATGCAAGAGGGCACAGAAAGGCTAGCTGGCGAAAAGTGAGAAATAGTAAGTGAGTAATAGATTCCATCGCCAGGAGCACGGAAATTTCAGAGTATTCGCACGTCCTAATAGATCTTTCCATGGCGTGGAAGCAGAGATGGGCTCACTTAATCAGAGCCGGTGAGGAGAGAGAGTTAGTTATTTATCACGAGGGCTTGGCTGAACAGCGCTAGAGTGGCATCCAACACAGTCCAGTAATGGATCCCATCCCAGCCTGTCTGATAAAATGATTTCTGTGAAGTGGACTTCAGGGAAGGGAGCCATCGCCTTCACTGACAGGACCACCACAGCTCTGAGGGCCTTCTGAAGGGACCCTGCGCGAAATGCCTACAAAGGCCCAGTCATAAATGTTCCATAAGGCCAGCTGTCTCTCATCTGGATAAACCGTGAGTGACAGGCAGCTAACATTAGCCAGCACAAAGGCGCTTGGTCTTCCCTCTCCTCTCACTCTATTACGTACAGACTCCTTTCCAGCCTTATTTATTTATTAACTCATGTGGGACGGCTGCACTATCAAACAGGCCGTCTGCTCGCTGTATCAGGACAGATGGCTTAAAGAGATAAAGCCAATTACTGTTGGCTGTCAATTAGAGTGCAGGCCAGAAAAGCAGCCTCAGCTCCGGAGAAAAATGGCAGATTTTGTTCCATGTTGACTGGGAGCGATCACAAACGGCGTTCACTCGAATACAAAGGCGCAGGCATTTCCCCAAGAAATCTGCTGGCGCAAATAAAACGTGATGACTTAAGACGCACTTGCAGCCATTATCATAATGCTGTACTATTGTATTTTCATTTGGCTGCCCATTCAAGTATTAACAATGGCATTACAACACGCACGTAGCTAACGACCGACCGCTAATGCGTCCGTCACAACAGTGCTGTGTGTCTCAACATGCTAATATGATTTTTGTGAGCATGTGTGTACGCCACCCATCAAAAGTTTGGGTTCACCTTGGCTTTTTTTATTTTCTTGCCAGAACTTTTCAATTAAGTCAGATAAATTTTGGTAGTACAAAGCAGCTCTGTTCTGATTCTTTGCATATATTTAGCTTCAACTTTCAGCTTGATGTTTATACCTTGGCAGAAGAGCAGGTTTAACCTGAATAGTAATTTAAGCAATGCATAGTAACAATGGTGCCAAATCGATATGAGCATAATCGCTTAAAATAATAATCAGCATCAGACTGATGTTTAGGCTTGACTGATTTTTTAGACTGATATTTCATAATGCATTTATTGTACTCTGGAGGAGCAACATTGAGGCAATGCTGGGTTACTGCGCTAAAACATCTGCATTGTATTCATTTTATTCATTTTACTGCTTTTGTAACCCTACAGATGTAAATGTTTAATGTATCTAAAGTGCTAGTCTGGATAAATGTCCCAATTTCTACATTTTATAAATGTTTGTCAACATTGGCAGATAAGTACATTAAAAATACTATATGTCAGCATCAGCCCACAGTTTACATATCGGTGCATCACTAAATAATTGCACTGTAAAATAATGTTTTACTTAACTTTACTTAAAAAACTTTAAAAAACGTACTTAATTTTGAGCTAATTGAATTTCATATATTAAGTTGGAGCGTAACACAGAATCATCATCATGATGATCCCCAATGGACAGTCCACACCGCATCCACACCTCAAACAGACTCACTTTGATATTACTGTAACTTCGATCTAGCAAATCTATACCTGCACATATAGATTGACATCTTGTACATCTTCTAACCATATCTTGTATAATCTGGACTAAATATATCAATATTCTATCCTGTGTACCCTGCAGCCCATTTACCTCAGACTCACAAATTGCATATATGGCAATGTGTACAACTGTAGACATCATAGCTTTTACTTCATAACATAACATATATGAGTGTACAAAAAACTGTACACTGGAATGGTGCAATTGTAATATTGCAATATTGTAGTATACACAATATATTGTGTATATGTCTATATTTAGAGTCTAATGTGTGTGTGTGTGTGTGCGTGTGTGATTTTCACTCACCTTCACACCTGTGTAAATGTGATGTGATAATAAACATGATTTGATTGAATTTGATTTAATCTGTTCCGTTAACTTATTATTATTTTAATTAACTCAAAATTGTAAAGCAGCCCAATAACTAACTTTTTAAAATTAATAACCAGTTTATTTCTTTACAGTGTGGTAATGCTTTATTTACAGAAAGGTTCTGGTATTAACCAGGTAAGTGTGAGGTACAAACTCCAGAGGACTAGGTAATTATTTTGGGTAACATGATGGTAAGTTCTGAGACAGTTGGAGTAAAAAGTAAACAGATTAAACACTAATATTAAAGAGTCTTATATATGGGATGTACCTGTATATTATCTACAAACTAAACTGAACCTGAGCTGTAAAAGACAGCAGAGATTCTTGCTGTGGTTTTTCTGGGTTCTTATCTTGTCTTTGTGTTTTGTGCACCATTGTAAACCATATAGCTGACCCGCTACCCATTTCTGATTTAAATTCCTGCCGAAATGTGTGACATTACAGTGGAATTTTATATATTTTTATATTTACCACTTATTACTCCAAATAACTATGAAATATTTGACTCCATCCTTTATCAGTTTAATAGTTTGAGCCAGTTCGTCATTTCAATGCAATTTAGCTAGACTGTCTTGATATTTATCATTATTTTGCCCAAAATGATTATCTGCTTGTGCTTTGTCTGTTTCTACCTCACACTTATTTGGTTAATACCTAGAACTTAAGAGGCCCTAAAAGAAAGCATTACCAAATAATCTGATATGTATTTCAAGTTCATATTGAAAGTTATATTTGAAGTTCATATTGGTTTAAACACCTGAAAGTTTTGATGAGGGCTGACAGCAGTACAAGGGGGTCCAATGTACAGCCTTTATTTTTTCCTGTCGATGGTATTTATTTATGTGATGTTGTGTCCTCTGAATAAACTCAGTTAGGCTTTAACATGTTACGTTATTGCAAAATGACAAAAAATGCTCATATGTATTAAAATCTTTCAAAAAAGTCCTCAAACTTCTGACAGTGATCAGTTTTATCATTATGTTGGGAATGAGATTAAAAATGTGTTTCTCTGTTTAAATTCAAAGGATGATCCCTGCATCCAGCAAGGCTTTCCTGGTCAACAACTTGGTATCGGGGACCCGCTATGACCTGTGTGTGCTGGCAGCATGGGACGACTCGGCCACCACCTTGACGGCAACCAGCGTGGTGGGGTGCGTCCAGTTCTTCACCCGGGATGACTATCCACAATGCCAGTCCATGCATGGGCAGCTCCTGGGCGGCACCATGATCCTGGTGGTTGGGGGCGTGATCGTAGCTACTCTACTCGTCTTCATCGTCATTCTCATGGTGCGCTACAAGGCAGGAGAGGGCGGGACCGGGGAGGGGACGGAGCTTCCTGTTAGCAAGCTTAGTGATGTTAGCGATACTTATTCCCAGACCAATGGCGGACGGCTGGGACCAAATGGAGTCTTGCTCCCGCCTCCCAAAAACAAGCCCAAAGTCACCATGCGGGACGAGGTGGTAGAGTTCAAGTGTGGTTCCCTCCAAAGCAGCCTAAGCTCTGCCTCCTCTTCCTCTTCCTCCTCTTCTTCATCCGGATCTCTGGATGCCGCGGGTTCCTACAGTCCCAACAGCGCCTTGGCTAGCATCTGGAGGTCTGCTAATCCCAAACCACGAGGAAATCTGGATCAGCTTCTGGGGGCCATCACCTCTCTGGAGCTAAGAGGCCAGACCAGGGAGGTTCCATCTCCAAAAGATAGTACCACGCCTGGCCCTCCTGCAGCTACTGCTGCTGCATCAGGAGCACCACTTCCACTGCCCCCTACTGACAAGGAGCCACTGTTGGGCCGGACGCTGGACTCGCGGCTCAGTAAGCTGCTCATGCTGCCACTGGACTCCAAGCCCAAGCGAAGCCACTCGTTTGACATGGGCGAGTTTGCGGCGTCCACCGGCGCCCAGCTGTGCAACTACCAGCGCAGGTTTAGCAACATCTGGACCAAACGCAGCCTTTCCATTAATGGCATGTTGCTCAAATGTGATGAGGAGGGCGAAACGGGCAGCAGTAAGGGCACTCTGGAAAGCTCAGAGTGGGTGATGGAGAGCACTGTATAGGGCAGGTGGACGCAAGCTGCCTTTAGGCCAGTTGTTCCCAACCCTGGTCTAGGAATGCCCCTACCCTGCACATTTGGGCCTGCTTTAGGAGCCTGATCCAACTAAACTGAACTAAACTGATATATTAGAATACCAAATAATTGAGTATTTATTGCTGGATAACTAATTATTTGGTATATACTTATCTCTAAGTCATCAGATTTACTATCTTTATTAATTTATGTAGTCATGGGAGTAAGGAACTGAAATGTGGACCCCATACAGCCCCTTTTTATACAGAAGCGAACGTTGGATTTTGGGTTTGGGTATTTTTAATGCGATTTTTAGTCTAAGTGTCCACAGAGTAAGTTATAACTGGTCAAATTCTATTTGTATTGTGAAAATGTAGTTGCATTTGCTCACATTTCCACATTGGTTGCCACAGTAACAACACAAAATTGCGTATCAGACATTGGGAGTGACACCGAGTGACAAATTTTAACCTAACTGGTTAAATTTGTGTTGAATTTGCAACCACTCACATAGTCTTATGCAAAAGTTTGAGCACCTCTGGTCATATGACATTTTGTAAAAATAAGTCAACACATCCTCTACAGAGAACATTTTTTCTGCCAGTTTTGAAGTACAATTTTAATTTGTTTGCTGGGTTTGACATATTAGGAAAACATAAACACATAAAATGCCATAACTTTTGTACAGTATGTTTTATCATTTTTTCCAATATGTTAAACTCAGTAATTGCACATTAAAATCAACAAACAAGTCATTTGACCAGGTCACCCAGACCTTTGCATATGACTGCATATGGCTTGGGTCCAATTTAAAAAAGTCATGTGTTTTATTATAGTTCAGACTGCAGAAAATCTTTCCTGCTCAAATCAGATATTTCAAAAGGTCAATTGTGAGTTGCCTCTTTCAACATAAGAATTTAGGGAGCAAGTCTTTCCTGAGTCAATGTGAATGTTTTAGAGCAGGCCAGTGCCAAAATGTGCAGGGCAGCGCTACTCCAGGACCACGATTATGAACAGCTGCCTTTAGGAACCTGCTGCTCTGGTGTCGAAGACTAAAAGGGAATAAACCCCCTGTTCCACCATGCATGGAATTATATATTGATTTATGACTTTCAAGTGTTGTTAAAGCATATATTCACTTTACGACTTGATGTGTTGGGGACAGGTCCCTGACCAGCAGTTATCAGCTATATGATCTGGTGAATGAGTGTGCGAGTGTGAGATTGGGTGTGCGTTTGTCTGTTGTGTGTATGTGTTGAATAACAAATCAGCTGTACTAAATGAGAAACGTTCAGGTCATGTACCCTGAGATTCTGGTCAGAGTCTTCATGCCCATTAAGGTGGACTGTTTTGTGACTGTTAAACAGCGTCTACAGATGAAGTTGTTTGGCAACGTTTTCTCCAGCAAACAGCACAGCAACTCAGACTGTACAGCAGTCTCTGGTACAAATACTGTTTATACATGTAATGAATTTAAAGTTTTATATTTTTTATCTTGCCGGTCAAACACTAAATGTTAAACCGAGGAAGGGGAAGAGTAAAAGCATTCGCGGAACTTTCATCCGTCCTCCCTCTTTCTCTCTCCTTCATGTCCCTCGAAGGAATCGTTTGCAAAAGCAGCGTTTTTAAAGGATCCACTGACCCACTAATCGAGGCAGAATGTGAAATTTTAAAAAGAAAAACTTTGAAATTAAAGACACAGAAAAACCCATCACATAAAATTGCTTAATCTTGCAGTTAAAGCACTCAAGCTTTTCTATATGTCTGTATTTACAAAGGAACTGGAAAGACTGGATGTTTTTAACCAGCGTCTATGTATATTTTACTGAAATGGTCTAAATTTGTAAAAATAAACGTCATCTTGAGTTTCCTGGCCAATCGAAATCAAGCCACGTTGCGATATGTACATTTACATTTTGATGCAAAAACAAGATCACTCCAGGTTCCAGCCCTGAAAATAAGTCAACCACATTCACACAGCCAAAAAACACCACCAAAGATGCCATTTACATCAGAGATGTCTAGAATTTGATGTAAAGAGTCAAGTCAGTGACTGTTGTCTTTCTTTTAAATTACTGGATGAATGTGTAATATTAACAATTTATTCATCTCTCAGTGATACCTCTAGGAGCCATAGAGACGTCATTCTAATGCTAATCAGCTCGGTCTAATCAGATGAGACATTACACTTAGCTCTCTTGCTTGGTGCAGCATATAGAAAGTGTCAGATTGGTGCGAAGATCTCGGCTCGGTAAAGCCCCAGTCCAGAGCTGCTGTAAGTGGCAGGTGTGTCTGATAGGAGTCAAACAACAGTGAATCACGACTCAGGCTATGTGAAGGAGCCGCTGGCCGGTCTCCCCTGCCTGTGGCTTGTGGGCTGTCCGCTTGTTTCTGCATGCAGAGACTAATTATTGCTGCCTTCATGTGCTAGTAGAAAATGGCTGGGCAGCCCCCTTATTTTTCTTACAGTTACACAGTACCCACATAATAACCCAGTGGTGGAAGGCTAGGATTCCACCTATCTGTCATTTCGAGACCAGTCACTCAATATTGCTACATCTGATTTATCTTCTAAATCAGGAGTGCCCAATCCTGGAGAGTTCAAACACCAGGCTATTCAGATGCCCCTGAAGGCCTTCATTACCTGGATCAAGTGTTTTACATTAGGGTTGGAGCTCAATTCTGCTAGGTGGTCGTTCTCCAGGATCAGCATTGAGAACCCCTGTTATAAACCATTGGTTTTCAACTGCAGTCCAAGGGAATCACTGCCCTCCAAGTTTAGGTATTCTCTGCCCCCAAATACCTGATCCAGCTCATGCAGAGCTTGAAAATTAGCGAAAGAGCTGGATTAGGTGTTTTGGGAGAGAATAGTTTAAATTGTGAAGGGCAGTAGGTCACCTAGAAACCACTGCACTAAACCAGTGCTTCTAAAATTTAGTCTTGGAGGCCTACTGCTGTGAAATTTTGGCATTTCTCCTGCTCCCAACACACCTGATCTAACAAATCAGCTCATCAAAAACCCTTTACTGAGTTAAAATGTGGGTGTGGTAAAACAAGGGAAGCTCTAAAATGTGCAAGGCAGGGGGTCATCTAGGACCAGGGTTGGGAAACCTTGCTATAAACTTGTGTCAGTGGAACATCAGTCAGGTTGAAGGTTCAATCAAACCTACACAAGAAATATATAATGGACAAGATATACAAACCATATAGTTTCCATTATGTACATTCCAAACCTCATAAGTAACATGGACCCTCGAGCTCCAAAGGCCCACAAGGTGTGCATGAGGGTCTTTTTGCCCCCTCCCCAGTACATCATGGTGCGTGAAGGTCTGCTCCAGTACAAAATGTGTAGTGGAGCCCCCATTTCCACACGAGCTAAGCTACCACCACAAATAAAAACACTACTGTCCACCACAAATTTGAAGCATCATCCTTACCATTATACATCCCATCCCCATATTGAAATGATCATGAATATGAGATCCCACACTAAAAGCTGCACACAAGTATCTCTTCAAGACTTAATTGCAAGTAAAAGCTTCAGAAACTTGACATTAACCCCTTGATAATTGCAGTTTACTGATTAGGCTACAGACATTTGCTTGCATGTGTACTGTTGGTTGCATTATGTACATTTTTACAAAGGAGGAAAATGTTCCAAACAGGACTACCCAACGTCCCCAAAGTTGGCCCACATGGACCTAATCCCCAACCCTCAGCCAATAACAGAACATATATTTTTATGAAACTTTTAAAATGTTATTTTTAAGTACTTTTAGTATGAAAACAGGATAATGATATGAAGTAAAACATAAAGACAGTTCTATGATCCTTGATGTGGTTCAATTGTCACTGTCTGTAACACATATGTAGCTAACACAAGCTAATAAACATAACAGGCAGTGGTACACAGACAAGAGGAGATTTAGAGACCACAGGTGTCAAGAATATCATTTCACTAAATTAAAGGCAAGGCAGTGTACTTTGTATGTAAAGAAACCATTTGAGTGTTTTGAAGAATACATTTTATCTAAGTATATTGAAGCTATGCGAAAACGCTAAGCTAATGAGTTGCTAGCTGTTTTATATATTCGGCCCTTGGCCCACCACAAACACTGCACTTTGGCCCCCCAAGACAAAACAGTTGGACACCCCTGTTTTGGAAGATGCCAAAATAGAATGGTCTAACTAACTAGCTAACCATGTTTTCAACCACAAAGCACTTGAAGTCAAAGACTTTGTAATGACGTCTTCGCAAGTGGGAAATAGGATCCAACAGGAAGGTGAAGGAAGCATCAACATAGTCTTGCGCTTCATGCAAATATGATCAATTAGTGCATGATTATTCAGTGTTATTACACTGGTTGTCAAACTCTCAGTGATGCTTTAAACATGTTGGTGCTATTCCTGCTCAAACATGCCTGAACCAGCTCAAGAAGGACTTAATAATTATTATTTGAGTGAAATTAGTATTCGAGTAGGGCAAACACAAAAATGTGCCGAGCGTGTGGTCTCGACTGAGATCAATTGCTTTGCTCTGAAGGCAGGCACTCTGCATCCAGAGAAAACAAGCCAGTGTTTACTTCCTAATGGAGGCGTTTACTTTTCTATCCCAAGCCTCACAGACATTAATTCCAGCTAGCCCAGCTATAGAGTGCCTAGAGAAATGCAGGATGGTGGTTAGAAGTCACATATTATGTGTTTTTCATGTAGTTCTCCTTTAAACTGTATTATCAAAGTCCTTGGCTCTGCCCATATGTTCTCATTCTGGAAGGAAACTCCATGCTAATTACTTGAGATGGAGAGCAAGGCTGTCCTGCCAAGCTGGATTGGGGCTTTAACGTTTCAGCCCTGATTGTTTCGACTCCCTTGCACAAGCCCATTAGCGTTTCTCCTCGATCCACATTAGTCCACTCTCCCTAAGGGGCTGGAGCAAAACATCGATAGTACAACTCTCTGCTTCAACTTGCATGTAGGCTTCTCTCGTCTTCTGACTAGCGGAAGTTTTCCTCGTGCTTTCACACTTCCTGTGTCTTTCACACAAAAGACTTGACTGGCTGCGTGACACTATAATATGGCTTTTTTGTATGATTGAGTGTGTACGATGGGAAAATTGTACAGTAGCATTTTATTCTCTTGGTACACAAAGACTAAAGGGGGGTTGCTTCATTGTGTTGTGATGACTTATCTGTTCAAATCCCTCTGAATGAGGGGGGCATAGATGATGTTTCTGTGGTCAATCAGATCAAATTTTGTTTTGCTACAAAGAAGATAAATATCAAAATGTCTAATAATATGAGTTGTCCTTGGGCCTTTCTTTCAGAGTAGTTCTATTGATCTATCCATGCGTCACTCACAAATGCACGATTTCGTAACTGTAACTGTTGTGAGGTTGGACCTTGTTACTACAGACTTGTACTAGCGTTCCATAAAGGTTGTCCAAGATCTGAATAGTTGCTACGAAAGAGTACAATGTGAGTGATGCATAGATAGGACATTATTTT